TGTCCTATGTTTACTGTGGTTGACTATATATATTAATATTCATATTATATATTAATTATATGTATGATCATATTAGAATTAACGTGAATCTTCACATCTATTTATTGCATTGTGAATATTTACATCATACTGTGGTTGACTACAGATGTTAATACTCACATTATATATTAATTAGGTATACGACCCGTGAACAAACATATCATAATTAATGTGAATCTTCATATTTATTTATTGCATCGTGAATATTCACATCATGTTTGTGTCTAAATAAACAAAATGGTCCTTGAATATTCACATCATCAACATTGCATAATGGTAATGAACATAACAAAAACATATACACCATTCAATATTATATGAAAGTGCAAATATTAACATTAATTGAGAATACATACGAAAAAATTCTAGTACAAAAAACCAAAAATTCAGAAACAAAAAACCCATAAAATCTCAAACTCTCTAAAAAAAAAAAAAAAACCATCACCCACATTCTCATCTTCATCATCTTCGTCATTATCACTACCCATGCAATTCCAACATTACACCAATCCAACAACAACCTATGCATGTTGAACCCCTATTGATTTGGCAAGTAAGAACATACTTTGAAGCTCATCATCACTGTCCAAATTATACCTATTAATCTGAGGTAACTAATAGAACAATGAAACACAATCAGATAACTCACTCTATTTTTCATACACACACACTCCACGAAATGTGAATAAGACAACGCTCACACCACATTTATTACAGTATTACTATACCCACATGAGCACACCAACAACATGAATAGACCCATCTGCTGCAAAAATACAAAAATAAGGAAGTGAATAACCACATTATAGTCAATGATATATGAACATTTACATTGTTCACATATATGAATTATCTAACCAAACAGAGATGAAACAAAACAAGGAAGTGAATATTCACATCATTTTTGTATCCAAACACTCCACGAAATGTGAATAAGACAACGCTCACACCAAATTTATTACAGTATTACTATACCCACATGAGCACACCAACAACATGAATAGACCCATCTGCTGCAAAAATACAAAAATAAGGAAGTGAATAACCACATTATAGTCAATGATATGTGAACATTTACATTGTTCACATATATGAATTATCTAACCAAACGGAGATGAAACAAAACAAGGAAGTGAATATTCACATCATTTTTGTATCCAACTAAACATTTTGGCTTGTGACTAAATGATTGAATACAACGTCTGATATGAACTTTAACATTTTGTATAATGATAATGAACACAGTGAAAATATATACACTATTAATATTATATGGATGTATAAATATTAACACTGATTGATAAAATAAATGACAAATTTCCATTACAGCTAATGTGAATATTAACACTAATTAATGATGTGATGAGGTTAACAAAAAATCAAAAACAATTACAACAACAGAACTAGAAATTTAACAAATTTCAATCTCTCTAAAAATAAAAAGCCATCACTCACATCCTCGTCATCTCACACGCAGCGACCAAGAGCTACTAGACTGATCAACTTCACTTTTCAATTCAACAACAATCTCTACATGTTGAACCTCCATTGATTTGCCAAGCAAGAACATACTTTGAAGTTCATCATCATTATCCAAATTACACCTATTAATCCTAGGTAGCTGATAGAACAATGAAACACAATCAATAAATAACTCGCTCCATTTTTCACGCACACACACACTCCATGAAATGTGAATAAGACAGCTCTCACACCACATTTATTATAGTAGTACTACACCCATATGAGTACACTAACAACATAAAGGTATCCATCTGCTGCAAAAATACAAAAACACGGAAGTGAACAACTACATTATAGCCAATGATATGTGAACATTTACATTGTTCACATTATCTGAATTATTTAACCAAATAGAGATGACACACCAAATACAACAAAAACGGTATGAAAACAATCACAAAACAAGCAACAAAAATAAACCAATCAACCAAAAACAACTTTTCACCAATGATCCACCACAATCAATTTGTTCAAACAACTGTATATGCATCTCTGTCAAATATTCGAAACTCAAACAACAAAAATATACATGCATTATTAGTAAAAAATCAAAACCTTATTCATCAAACATACACTTGCATTACCCATGTATTCTAGAAAATGCACATAAATAAAAAACAAAGCATGCAATCCTTCACATAAATAAACATGCATTCATAAACAAAATGATACTAACCTTGAGAAAGAAATTCTGTAATCGTTCTCCACCTCTAATCAACGATTGATCTCCAATAATTACGTAACAAACCAAAGCACACACAAACACCAAACTACGAAAACGAACACACCTATAGACAGAAACCCGTCGTCTTCGTCTTCTCTCCTACGGCATAAAAACCCGTCCTCGTTTTCTCTCCACTACACTAAAACCCTACCACAATGAAACCCTACCATAAACGATCGACATTAATTAAGTGTATCAGAATCATCAACGTGAATAACGCTGACAAACAAAACAAAAACGTGTATTTCCTTTTTTGTGTGTATTATGTATCAACCAAGGTTTTGAAAATCGGACCGGACCGGCCGGTTCGACCAGTTGAACCGTCGACCGATCGGGGTTCCGGTGCGGATAGACCCTCTAAACCGTTCAGAAATGAAAACCGGCGTTTTTAAGGAGAACCAGAAAAACCGGCTGGGTTGATCTAGATCAGAATTTTTTTATTTTATTTTATTTTCTTTCTTTCTTTTCTTTCTTTTTTATTATATATATATATAAAAAATATAAGAATATAAGAAAATTTTAATTTGAAACTCTTTTTCAAGGGTCTCCTCTTGTGAGGAACCCCATTAAGAGCTTGATGAAATTATTGTGAAAGTCTTCACCTATTTATAAAAAAAAAAACTCTTTCAAAAAAATTCAAGAAATCCATGTGGGATTTAACTTTTATATATGTGAAAGCTGGAATTGGTATTAATGCCACAAAATTCTTGTTTGTGAAAATACTCGCAAGAGCAATTACCTGCTTCTATAACTGCACATTTATAATTCTGTAGTTAAACATTCATATGGGTGTGTATATCTTCTAGTCTCATGAAAAAGCGTTTTTCAAAAGTGTGAAATTTTAGAAGTTGATAAATTTTACACTTCCATATAAAAATAAAGTAATTTTTTACTTTTTTTTCATTTTATGTAATTTTATATTCAATTACGATCTTATTTAATAAATCTCATTTAGAAATTTTTAAAATTTTAAATTTTATCTATACCCAATGTGCATTTTGAAAGTTATGAAACTTCTAAAGTTTTTCACAATAATAAAAAAAAACAGAAAAAAAAAACCCTGCTATATAAACATGTTGACCAAAAAATAGGTAAAATTGTCATGAAAAAATATCTAATTTCAAAAATAGATCATCAAAATATAATTCTAAACATATAAGATTTATTAGATCACAAATATTCTAGTTGAAATAACAAATTAGTGTATATTTTGAAAAATAATTTTATATTAATGATAAACTTCACAAACTTTAATTATTAAGAGCCTAAATTTTTTCATGTATATGTAGTTATTTTTTGAAAGTACAATTGATTTGTAATTTCTCTAATATTTTATAGGAATTATGACTAAACAAGTTGTTAAAAAGAAATTTAATAGTAATTTTCTCTTAATTTTATTAACTTATATGTTTTGGCAACTTGCTAAAATAGTCAAAAAGTCAAAATATTACTACAAAAGTCAATTATTTTTTTTTATATATCTTTTTGTAAAATGTCAATTAAAATTGTTAGTTTCTAAAAAGGTAAAACTTCAATAAATCTCAAAATGTGATTTGTGAATTGTTTAGTCCATTTTTTTTTTTTTTTTTTTTTTAATGAATCCAAATGCTCCATTCTAGTGTGAATTACATAAAGGACCAAGTATAAATGCCTGTGTGTTATTTGTTGAGGAACAAATATAAATTTTATTATAATGTTAAAATTACTAAACGTAATACTTTAAAAAAAACTCCCATCTTTCTAAAAATCAACTTATTCAATTCTACCTTGGTTCCATTTGGCATGATTGCATGGGCTAATTTAGACAGATAAGACAAAATTAACTATTTTAGTCAAATAGAACAAAAATGTCACATCTATCTCATAATCATTTTATTTTTCTCACAAAAATCAAAAAAATCAAAAAAGTTATCCCAAATGAAACTTTTTGGCTTGGTTTGGGAAGTGGGTTGGCTTTTTGGCTTTTTGACTTTTTTGGCTATTTTAGCCTGGGCTTAAAAGCTTGGTTTGGGAAGGACTTTTTGGCTTTTTGGCTTTTTTGAGTTTTTTTGTGAGAGAAGAATGTAATGATTATGGGTTGGATGTGATGTTTTGTTTGTTATGGCTAAAATAGCCTATTTTATTTTTTGTGGCTAAAATAGCCAAAAAAGCCTCCAACCTCACTTGCCAAACAGAGGCTTTATAATTTTAGAAGCAGTACACAACCATACCCTGACAAATTTTTTCTTAAAAAAAAGAAAAAATTATCCGCAGCTTTAATACATTGTACCAAACAAATACGGCCATTATACATATATATATATATATATATCAACAATACTACAAATCCAAAATTATTTACTCAGAATTTATCAAAAAATGAGAATCAATAATTCAAATTTATTTCACTAATGAGCCCAAATTTCATCAATTTAATCATGTTCTTGGTCAATTATGGGTTCCCATATTCGGGGTCCTTTGCTTTTTGTATATATATATATACCCACAGAAATAGGAGCTCTGCTTCCGCATCCTCCCTGGGCAGGTCTAAGAGACCTACCAAACAAATCTGTTAATGACTCAAGTTGCAACCCTAGATTGGACAAATCTGTTAATGACTCAAGTTGCAACCCTAGATTGGATCAATATAACTTTCTCTGCATTGCTAACAGATAATCACTTTTAAACCTCAAGCTTCAATCAAAAAAACTTCAATTTGAATACTCTATGGATGCCCACATTAAACACCATGAGATACCGATAATCAAATCAAAATAAGACCAAACATTTCCACATTGTCTTACCATAGAGTTATGACCTTTACTATTGGAAAAACTAAAGAAAGCAATACATAAGACAGCAAAGCAAGCCAGATCATTATCTACCTGAACTTTGACCACCCGATCACATGTTACAAAATCCACTCAAAATTCACTCATCGTCTACGCTTCTTGACTTCTTCTTTTTCTTCTTACCTTCACTAGCAGCTGGAAGATCACCATCTTCTTCATCCTTACTCTTCTTCTTTTTCTTCTTCTTAGCAGTTCTCTCATCTGCATCGAACCCATTCACAACGTTCCCATTTTCTGCAGCTTCATCCAGTTCCTGTTCTGATTTTCGTTTATCCTTCTTCTTCTTCTTTTTTTCACTTTTGAGCTCCTCAGAAACATCCCCATTTGTATCAACAATTGTTTTATCCTCAGCCATAGGATCATCATCTTCTGCAGCCTCTACTTTTGACTTCTTTTTCTTGCTTTTCTTTAATGCAGATTCATCCACATCCATGTCTGTATCTGCAAACATCATTTACAGCGAGAATGAGAAACCACAACAGCCCATGACATGCGAGGTAATTGCTCCAATTATGAGAATGAAATGCTTAGTAAAGGTAAGAACACAAAACTGGGGCTAGAATTGTTCCTAATTTTTCGTTCTCATGGAACAAAAAACCAGCCCAGTCGGTTATAATTCCAAGCTATGAATTGAAACAGTGTAATTGAGAGAGCAGGGAGAAGGAAGGAAGAATGACTGAAACAATTTGAAGAATGTAATGATAATGAAATAAAAAGTTCCCCATTGCAGTAGAATATAATCCGGATAAAGCACTAGTCAACGAAACTAATGGCTCTGAAGGTTCAGTTATTGAATTTAAAGCCACAAGGCAAATGAAAGCATACTAAATTGTCTAGATACTAAATTGTGGACTAGGACCGGTCAAATCATATATTACTCCATATCCATATGTATGTACATGCATGTGTGTATATAGACATATAAAGCTTATTATACTTTTCAGTTTTATGATTATGCAACCAATCATTTGGTGTTTTCAAATTTATGGGAGGGAAGAACAAAAAAACTCCTCCATACTTTCACCTTTCACCCACCTTTGTTTAGAGATATTTCAAGTGCAGTCTTCATCACATCAATGTTTTTACGAGGTGCAACCCCCTTGTCATAAAAGTCAAGTCGTTCCTCAACCTGTTCACGAAGTTTCTCCCCAAAAGCAGTGGTATTCTTATCTGCATTCAGGACATGGTTCACAATTTAATCTACCAATCATGAGGTAAAGTAATCATATGATAACATTATATTCTTTGAAAGAAATGAAAAGACTTACCTAAGAAACAGTCAATGCGAGATGCGATAGAGCACTTGTTTGCAAGATAACGAGCCATTCGGCCTTTGTTTCGAGCAGATGCCCGGCCAATAAAAGAAGAATGGAATATAAGGCCATACTTCGGGGTGTTTCCTCGGGTTTTCAATGCCCTGTAGCCAAAGGAATGATTTTGAGTCACGCTAACAAAACAATGCACAAAAGGAATATCCAGGTGGCATCAGAAGATGCAGTCACTTTTAGCTCTAAAAATATGCATTTTGCCACTAAGATGACCTGAACATAGTAATTTCCGGTTGCACTTGAACAACAAACCAGACTTTCAGAAATAATTGGTCTGATTTTTAAATAAAATTTTTGCAATCCTAGCAAATTTAGAGAAGAGCACAAACCTGAAGAGTGCCTTCTCTGCACCAAGGATCTGAAGTGTAGAAGAAGGGCACTTTGCCAGATTTGTGAGGCTACCAGCATGAGAAATCAAACGAGCTCCAACAACTTCACCAATCAGAGCAGCCAAATTGGGAGCAATGTCGTTCATTTTAGTGACCAGATATTCATAGAGCTTTTTTCTGTACTCAGAAAGGTCCATTACCCTCTGCGCAAATTGCTTGACATTAATCAAGTCAATTGGAGACAAGTCCTGCCCTAAAAAAACATAGAAACACCAATTGAATAAAAAATGGGATTCAACTTTGCACATGAGATATTTAAGTGCCTTCGGTATAGTTTCCTTCTTATTTTTGTTTACGGTTTTAATTTTCATGCTTCCAGAAAATATAATCATTTTCAGTTTTTATTTATTTATTTATTTATTTTTATTATTTATTATTTTATGAATTCAATCCTTTGAGGACTCAAAAATCAATTTAAATTGGTTTAAAAAAAGGGCCATCTCCAGAAATTTTCCACACGACAAATTTGTTTACAAAAACATTCCACCAAATGTGTTTTTTGTATTTGTTTAAATTTTCTCTGTTTTCAAGAATGAACAGTTTTCAAATATCATAACAAATGGGCTAACAAACTCTACCCATGGATGCTTTAGCAGCTTCTACGATTTCCTTTGCTTTATCTTCATCTCCAACTATATCAATCAAGCCTGGTAGTTTATCTTCAAACAATTCCGATTTGTTCTCAACAAATTTTGAAACTTTGGCATAAAGATAGTTGTCATTGACAATCTTTACTAGTTCAGGAAAATGCCAAGAGTACCATTCTCTGCATTAAGTAAATCAAAGAACAACTTTAACAAAATCTAATTGGAATAAATATCAAAAGCATCCATAAAGCTTCATACAATGTCACAATTTCAAAACAACAAATCCCAAGAATTCTCAAATATCGCACTTACAAGCAAGAAAGAGTAGACTAGTTCTAAAGAATAATGAACCCTGAAGATGATATTCCTAAGACAAAATTGACTTGTACAAGTGACAAACCTGACTCTCATGGAAAAGGAATTGATATCTTTATCAAGAGTATCAAGAAGGAAGATAGCCTGAATAACCATATTGTCAACGCGGTTAACATTGAATTTGACCTTTGCCCTGCTGTAACTGTGCCCCAGACCAAGTTGGGCTTTGTCCAAATCACCAGGCTACAATAGTTTGAGAACATAGAGGAAACAAGTTACATAACATAGGAAGTAATTTCAGAAGGAAAAACATAACAGCAAGACATTGACACTAGAGAGAGAGATGAAAAAGTGTTAAAAAATGCAAACCTTCAGGTTCTCAATGAACCTATCAAAATGCAACCTCACACCGCGAATAAGCTCAAGAACAAACTCATTACTTTGGCAGGGAATCTTGGTCACTTCAAAGACATGTGATCCAATCTTAGGCTCAGCAACGCCTAAACTGAATTTAGGCTTCTTTCCGTCCTTAACTTTTGGGAGAGTTAGCTCCAAAAAATTCCTCAACTCATCAGTCATATGGCCTAAAACCCAGTAACAAAAAACAAATACATATATCAAATTATCATATGTACAAATTCTTTGGAGAGTTAGCTCCAAATAGTTCCTCAACTAATCAGTAATATGCCCTAAAACCCAATCACAACAACCCCCCCCCCCCAAAAAAAAAAATGCATATATCAAATCATCATAACTCCGAAGGAATTTTCTTCTTTTAAGGTTAGATAAATTTCTTAAAAATTACAAGACAAACAAAAAAGCATAAGCAAGCAAACAAAATGCAGACAAAACTATGTGCCAAAACAAAACACCACGCTGCACCTGGTCTGCACCAAATCAGCTGAACCTCCTCATCACAAATTGGTAACATACCATCATGGATCAGGTACCAGATTAGCACCAAGCCAGCTCTGCGATAACTAAATTTTGTTATGAGTCTCTCTCTCTCTCTTGTAACCAACTTAGATATAAAAGATCTTTGCTATGGAAGCTCCCTGAATTCTCCATTCTCTCTATATATACTGATGTAATGGTTTATGTAATTCGTGAGCAAAAAAATGAAACGAAATTCAATTTCTGCTTCATTGGTATGAGAGACCAAAAAACCTTTATAGGCAACACATCCTCTCTCAATTCTTCTTAGTTTTCCTTAATCCTTCTTCCATAACACCATGGCTAAATCAACCTCCAATCCTTCAAATCTGAGTCCCCTCCTCTCTAGCTTTAAATCATTAATTCCTATCAAACCATGTCAAACCAATTACATACTCAGCTAACAAACTAAATCAAACCATAAGCTGAGTCGGTGCAGTGCTAACCCAAATATTCCACTTATATAGCAAAATTAACATTAGTAAAAAAAAATCAAAAATGAATTTTCCAAATATGGAGTTTGTTAAACTCTTGCTTCTAAAAAATGAAAATACCCATTGGCAAAAATTCAGTTCTCATGCAAAATCTTAAACTCAGTCATTCTATTAATTCTCTTTCCCCTTATTTTGTCATCATCCAGACAAGTACAACACCAAAACCCAGTACTAGAGTTGTGCATAAGCTTCACAGTATTTTCTTCTGATGACCATTTTTTAAACAGAAAACATAAAACACAATGAAACTCATAACACAGAATCGGAACAAACCCAACAAGAACAACAAAAAACCAAGATACATATGTACATATATATACACACACACATACATAGAGAGAGAGAGGAGAGAGAAATGGTTTACTCCCTCACCTTCGGAGATGGCGTTGCATTGATTGAGAGCGTCGAGAGCGGACTCGAATGGGGTAAAAGCTACGAGCTTCACGACTTTGCCGAATCGATTGAGGTCAGTCACGGAGTTCCGAACTGCCTCTGTGTTCTGACCGATTTCATCAATACCATGGGCCAAAAACAGAGCATACCCAGAAGCTGACTCGTAGAGAAGATATAGCGCCATTGTTGACTGTATTCAAGAGACTCAGTGGCTTCAGTTTCCTCTCTCCTCTGTTCTCTCTTCTCTCTCTCTATGTATATGTGTGTATGTTTGCTTGCTTTCTCTGTCTAAGATTATCGGCGAGGCGCGAGAGATAGAAGAGGGGAAAGGAGAAGAGACGAGAGCCTTTGATTTGAGGACTAGGGTTTAGCGGCTTTATTAGGGTTTTCAGTTTTGAGGAAGAGTGTTGGGTTGTGATTTACTATATACGAAGACTACTACAATCGGATGCTTCTGGGGCGTCGGATTGGATTCTGTAAATTCACTATCGTCAGATTTAGATAGTTGATATTGTTGTGATGACTAGACTATCATCGGGCCGGATCGGACCGTGTTGCGAATATGGGATTCAAGCCCCTCCAACTAGCTTTATTTTTGGAAAACTGACTCAAAGGTCCAAGCCCAACATATTATACCTCATTTAGCCCGAAAACAAATTCAATACTCCATTAAGTCCTCAAATTATCAATCAAACGAAAATACCCACACTATATCATCCAATTTACACGCGCGCAACCACAACACCAAGGTTATTTTTACAACAATGATAGAGACCACTAATTTTAGAGATATAAAAAGATCACTAATGACATGGCACTTAATAAAAAAAGAAAAAAAATACAACACCAAGGTCAAAATATCAAATCATTTATGGTGGGGTCCACTGCTACATCATTAGTGGTAGCACTAATTAGTGCTCTCATTCATTTTTCTTATTTTTAAAAAGTTACAATGAACTTTTGGCTCAAATTTTGAGTAATAGATTTGGCTTAAATTGACTAAATAGACAAGTTCATGTCTCGCTTTAAAATATGCTATTTTAATAATTTTTAAATTTTTTTATTAAAATATAAAGTGAAAAAAATTAATATGTTTAATATAATTTTTTATTTTAAAAAATATACATAATTTTTTTTAATTTTTTTATATAATTTATTAACTTTTTAATTTTTTTAATTAATTTTTAACTTCTGAACTAAAAATTGGAGACGTAAAAAATAAGTCGGACCTACAGGCACCCTGATAGGCAAGTCAATAAGTTGTTTTTCTAATGGACTAAGTCGGCCCAACAACCCAATAGTTAAGTCGACAAGCAGGCCAACTGGCTAACTTAGTCTTCGATCCTTTGGCCCAAATCTAGCATAAGCTACATTCGGGCTCACCCGGGTAAAAAAAGCTCGGAAGGCCATGAACCTTCAGTTTGAATGATAACACTTACACTCTGTTTGTTTTGACAAAAAATATTTTTTATGAATTTTGTTTTTTAGAAAATGATTTCAAAATAAAACAATTTTTTTTTATGTTTGGTAGTGGCAGTGATAGCGACAAAAATGGTGATAATGGCTGCAATGATAGTGGTGTGGTGATAGTAATAGTGGTAGTGTAGTGACATTAAGTAGAGTGTTTGTGGTGACATTATGAAATATATGGAAAGACAGAAACAATATGGTGTTTAGACAAGAAGAGAGCAATGTTCAAGAGGGTATCAAAATAATTCATCAACAATCATTTGCAATTCACCTAGCTTTCCAAAATGATCATTTCACAGGTCAGTATCCACGTGAAGCAACTAATTGGCGTCTTCCTTGTGCAGGTTGAATAAACACATACTGATGTTCAAAGGAAATCCTGACGCAGCTGGCTATAGAGGACTCTTTATAGATGAGCGAGGATTGTGGATTCTATACTAGCATGGGAGATTGGAGGAAGCCACAACTGAAGAAGCTGAACTATGGGGCATATATACAAGTCTCCCCATTATCTTGGAGAAGAGCATGAAAGATATCATCATTGAATTAGATTACGTGCAAGTTATGCTTTACATCAATAGAGAGACTCGTAGCCAGTTCCCTTACAAAGCATTGCTTGAAGATATCAAGTTCCTCATTCATAGATGCAATTGTATTCACTATGTTTTGTTTTGATTTTCAAAATTCACTTTTCATAAAATATATTTTTTTGTTTTCATTGAATTTTTTTAATATTGTAAGTAATTTTTTTTTTAAATGTTTAGACACACCTAACATAAATACATTTAAAAAGTATAATTTTTGTGAAAAAAATCTTTAAAAAATTCACTAAATACTAAAAATAAAAATAAAAATTATGAAAGTTTAGTATATTTTTCATATTTTGTGTATTTATTAATTTTTAAAATATTTTTTCACAAATATTTTATTTTTTAGATACATCTAAGTAAAGTGTATCTAAAAATGAAAAAAAAATACTTAAAATTTTAAAAATATTCATTAAAAACAAAAAAACACAAAAAATAAAATTTTGAATTTTTAAAAAATTGAAACCAAACATATTGATTATTACTCATATTCTGATGGAAGGTAAGATGTGCTGATGGTGTAGCTAACTTAGGAGTGAATCATGCTGAGAATCTGATTAGATGACCCCCTAAATGAAATTGCAAGTTTGCTGGTTGTAGACATAATTGGGGCTTCTTGCAAAAGGGTCTAAATCTGCTTAAGAAGCCTTATTTTGTACTTTGCTATTTTTATTTTTTCTTCTTAGTTTGTCTTGTACTCTTTCCTTTGAATCAAAAAGAAAAAGTGTGATGACATTGATAAGATTTTAGTCCAAAAAATGTTTTTTTAAGCCTTTTAAAAGTAAAAAATGTTTTTTTACGCCTTTTAAAAGTAAAAAATATTTTTGCCTATATAGGCTTGTTTTCTGTTAATCATAGAAAATATTTTTCGTTAACTTTTGTTTTTTATTGTATCAAACACCATAAACTATAAAAAATATTTTTCATAAAATATTTTCACCAAAACAAACAAAGCGTTATTGTTATAATAAATCCTAAATGTTGAAATTGTGCTTCATTTGGTCCCAATATTTTATATTATGATCTATTTGATCCTTTATATTGTTAAATGACATAAATACCACTACCTATTAATTGTTCAACGCGTGAACAACTCTATGTGTTAATTTGGGTGATTGTGTAGTTTTTGTCATGTGGTACAGTCCAATGTTGTTGTGAGGTTGAAATTCAGTTGCCACGTGTCACATTCAGGGTGTTTGCTGGGTACCACAACATCGGAAACTACACTAAGGCTCTTTGTGCTTTTCTACGTTTGGGCGGATGCAGCACACGTGACATACATACCACGATCTGACCTGTTTGGTTATGGATTAGGCATGATTTAGAAACCCTAATTGCTGTCGATTCCATTTGTTTTGTTTCCAAATTGTGGAGTTTTGTGTTATGTATTGAGGGTTGAAGGTGAATCGTGATCTGTTGTACTTGGTTGTGTGTGTGTCGTCGTATTGGTGACCTTGTTACATAGCGACATTCGAAGGTATTTCGAGCAGTAAACCGAAGAGGATTTGAAGTAGGCATGCTGATTTCTCAGCTGGTGGTGGAATGATGACTAGAAAAGGTATGTGGTACCAATTTTGTTATTGTTTTCCTGTTCTTTATGATCCATGTATGGTTGAAACAGTAGGTGGTTGTGGTTTGGTGTTATTTGTATGATGTTTCATAGCAGATGTTGTGTGTGTGTATTGTAGATTGCGACGGTGTGTGTGTGTATTATTGTAAGGTGTAGTTGTCAGATACATAAAATGAGGGTGTTGGGTGAGGCTTTTTTTATTGAATTAACAAATGTTTAGATTCTGATATGGTCTGTAAGTTGGTCGTTGGTATGTGCTCTGACACGTTGTGACACTCCCTCTGTTGCAATGAGATACGCATCAGAGGGGGTTATGATGTTGTGCAAGTGGTGTTGGATTATGTGTAAATTGTGGGTTTTTTTTTTTTCTTTTTTGAGATGGTATTGTCGTGGAGTGTGTGAATGATATACATTTTGTTGATTGCAGAAGGTGAAAATGCCAAAAGGGTTTTTTGGCGATTCACCATGTTCATTATGTGGGTGGTTTGACTGACTGAGTTGATATGTTTTTGTTTTGTTTGATTTTATAAATAGTGTGAGAATGTGTAGTTTGGTATGTACAAGTGTTGTGGCGTTAAATATGGCGGAGGGGTGGCAATGTGATATGTGTGGCTGTAATTGTGTTGGGGGTGTAAGCAATGCGAATAAGTGTGTAGGGCATTTTGTGGGTATGTGACACATGTTAGTGAAATATTAAACACGTTGTTTATGGCATGGCACATGTTTGTGAATCATTTGACACGTTGTTGCTGTCATGTTACGCGGTTTTTTTGTTTTGAATTGTCAATTGTTTAGAGTTGACATGGATTGGGATGTTTGTGATTAACTTGTTCGACTTATATGTGTTGTGTGGCTATTTGGAATTTGCAATTTTCATGGTATGTGCATTTACTGGGTCGGTGTTGGCGGGTTATGTTGTGTTAGTTGGTGGTACTGAATTAATATGTTTTTTGTGCTATTGAAGATGGTGACATTAGTAGAAGTCCGTGGACGCGTTCATGTGAATGGAAGCATCTTGAATGTGCATGTGGTTCAAAACCGAACAGACTGGGTGTTAACATGCAAGACCGCATATTGTTCAAGCAATCGAAAGTCAACCACCAGCCAGCTGGTGAACTAGTTGATAAGCAAGCTGTTGGCCCATCACGCATTGCACCCACAAGGATTAACTTCTATTCGAACATTGCGGGCATCGTGAAGCTTGTAACAACATCTTGTTTGAGGGCTAGTCACTTTGAACAGTTGAAGAGGACTCCATTTTGGATCATGATTGAGGCTATCCAAATTAACAAACTGAATTACCATGAATTCAGGAAGTTTGACGAGGTGATTTTGAAAATAATACAGACATACGACAAACATTGTGACGCATTCAACATTCGCGAAAATTTTGTGAAGCTTTGTAGGAGTGATATTAGACTTTTGTTTGGGATTTAGTGTGATACTAGGCATCTTGATCTCTCCTCTTGTCAAAGGCTGACATCGGATTTCATTCATTGGAGGAGTCATAACACTGTACGAATAACATCGAAGCTCATGAAGGCATTGTTCGAAGGAGCCATGGGTGGGCGAAGTATGGTAGATAAGGAGAATATAACGAAGTTGTTAACACTTTGTGTGTGCAGGAAGCTGTTCTTTGCTAATTCTGGGGAGATCATAAGCTAGGCATTTGTGCGATACATTGATGACCTGAAGACCGTACGTGCATACTATTGGACTGGTGCAATATTGCA